CAACATCGAATATTAATAAAATTAATATAAAATTATTAAAATATGAAGGGAAAATTATAAAAATATATTTTATTTACTTTGAATAAAAATTTAAAAAAGTTTCGATGTGAAAAATTGTTTAGTTTTGTTATTTCCTCCTACGTTTTTATATGTCATCAATAACTTTATTGATTTATTTGTTTTGTTTTCCTTATAACGTTTCCGTTACTACGCATTATTTAAAGGTTGTTAATTAATTTTTAAAAATTTCATTTACCAAAATCCAATTTTCCTTTTTTCTTACTTTTAATTTATTATTCAATAATCAAAAAAAAAAAAAAAAGAAAGATTTTAAAATCAATATAAAACGAATTACATATTATTTATTACATTTTATTATTATTATTATTTTAATTTAAACTTGTAAAAGAAAACACTTAACATTTACTTCTTATCATTCTAATGAAGAAAAAATAAAAAAAAACAAAAGAATATATTACTTATCATAAAACCACGCCACGTTTAAAATAATCATTCACAACAAAAACAACAACAACAAAATATTTTCTCGTCTTATTTAAATTCTTTGTTATTTTTTTTCCGGTAAATTTAATTTCTGCTAAATAAAAAATTAAAAAAAAATAAATAAATAAATAAAATTTCATATCATATTTAAAAATTATTAATTAATAATAAATAAAATCTTGATTTTTTTTGTTTATATTAAGGTATTAAATTATTTTCAGTTATTTGTTTTTTTTCTACATAAAATTTATTCATTAATTTTTTAATGGAATATGTTAAACAAGTACCTTTATTATTATTATTATTATTACAGGCCTAGTTTTTTTTTTTTGGAAACACTTTTATTAATGTTATTTCATATTAATATTCTTTATCGTTAATTATAAAAAATTTATTTTGATTAGAAATATTAATTTTTTATGGTTTTCCAGTTATTTTTTTTTAATAAATAAACAATCATGAATGATCCAGATCAGGAAATTATTGATAATTTAAATTTAATAGAAGCAGCAAAACCAGATTTTACAATTGACGGTAAGTAAAATAATAATAATAATAATTTATTTGGGAAAGAAATTTCTATTCGCGATACAAATTTTAAAGAAAAAAATTTTTATTTTTTTTAATAAAATGAAAATTTTGCGCAGAACAGAGCAAAATCTTATTGAAGCCTGGTTAGGAAAACTCTCAGAACCTCCAAATACTCTAGAAGAAAGAAATAATCGTGATCAATATGCTAAATTATTGGCCAAATATACAAATTATGATAAAATCCTTCCGCCACCTTTTAACGAACCGCCACCTCGTAATCAATTGCCACCGATTGGTGCTGGTGGTGGTGGTGGTGCTGCAGCAGCAGCAGCAGCTGCTTCTTCTGCTTCTGCTGGTGGTGGTGCTTCTGCTTCTGCAGCAGCAGCTGCTTCTTCTTCTGCTGCTGCTGCTGTTGGTGGTTCTGCCTCTGCTTCTGCTGCTGCTGCTGCGTCTGCTTCTGCTGGTGGTGTTGGTGGTTCTGGTTCTGCTGCGGCTGCGGCTGCAGCAGCTGCTGCTGGTGCTGGTGCTGGAAATGAACTCGTATGTAATTTTTTTATCACATTTTATAAATAACAATGTTAATTAACATTAATTTTTTGTATTAAAAAAAAAAAAAAAGAAAGGAAATGAGACGGAAAAGGGAAAAAAACAATCTTTGCTTAAAGTTCGTATGCCTTGCATGCCGCATATACCAAAAACGCCAACAGGTCCCCCAAAAACACCAAAATTTAAATTACCCGAAGAGGCGGTTCAAAATTTGGAATCAAATAAAAATGAATTTGAAGATTTTGAGGTTTATTATTATTATTATTTTAAACTTAAATGAAATTTTTCCATTTTTTTTTTTTTTGTATTAATTGAAAATGGATGATTTTAATAGGAAATGGCAAAAGTTCTTGCACGTTCTAAAGGTCAAACATTTGGAGAATTTGTATTGGCAATATCTAGGCATACATCTGATTATGGTCAACAATTGAGAGCTGCCATGAAAGTAGAAACAAATAATTTTCGAGAATACGTTAATAACGTTTTATCACAAAGAATAAAAGATTTAACGGAAGTTTTAGACGAAGAACAAAATGCCGAACTTAAAAGAATTAAATGTGATATAAGCAAATGGCAACAAGAACTCGCACATTGTAAAAAAAGGCTCCGAGAAATAATACCTGATTTTAATATTGATTTATTTAGAAGGGATAAACATTATATAAGAAAAATTTTTGCTCTTGTAATTAATTATTACTATTTTTTATTAACTTATTTATTTATCTATTTTATAAATATAATATTTGTTTGTTTTGTTTGTTTTTAAAGCAAAAATCAGATTCCCCTGGTTTACCTGAAGATGATTCAATAAAAAAATGGAAAGAAGAAACATGTCACAGATTAAAATGGTACACTTGCATGACATTAAAATTAACGGTAAATAATACATATATAATTTAAATTTTTTTGAAATCCATTTTGGTTTATTCATTTTTACAATCGATTTTTTTTGTTTGTAAATTACAGAAATGTAACGAGCAGCTCACGAAAGAAATAACAATTTTAAATTCGACAATTTGTAAAGTTGAAGCTAAACATGCAAACGAACTTCAAGCTCATACTCAATTTATGAATTGTGAATTTTCAGAATATCAAAAATTAAAAATAGAGTAATTAGTTTTTTTTTTTTTAATAATGAAAATTCGTTATTTAAAAAAAGCAACATGTACTAATAATAATAATTTTATTAAATTTCAGGAAAGATTGTATTAATAAAGAAAACGTTGAATTATTTTCAAAATTAAACGAAGCATGTGAATCATAATAAAACAACAAAAATAAAATTCGACTTACTGTTTTTTTTTTTTTTTATAATAATAATGTCCTTTTTGTATCAATTTAAACAAAATAAAAGTTTTTTTTTCTTACTACACATTAAAAATTATTAAAAATTTTTTGATTTAAAACTTTCATAAATATGTACATGTTCTATCGTTTGATATTCTAATTTGTAACGGTCGGGGAAAAAATTCCCCGACAAGAAAAAATTTCGTGTCATTAGAATTAAAATAATAACAACAACGAAGGGGGAGGGAAAAAAAAAAACAATTTTTTTCGGTTACATAAAATTTGCTTTAGTTTACTTTTTCGTATAAAAATGGATTTGACCCGAGAATTAAATTATACTTGTAATACTGACATATTTCGAATTGCATATTATTTGAGATCAAGAATGGAAACGAGAGAGGGTAAAAGTTAAATTCATAAAATTATTTACGACAATATTAATTTATTTATAATTATATGCACGCATATATATAATGTATGTATATATCGTTAACCGTTAATAATATATTCTGTCGACCATAATTCATCTTTTTATTACTGTAATTTAATCGATGACCGCATTTACATTAATATTTTATAATATTTCTCTCTCTCTCTTTCTTTTACACACAAATACTTTCTAACAGATCTCTTTTAAAAATTAAATTTAAATTTAAACGAGATTTAGAAAAATTCAAACCAAAGGAATGATATTATAATCAAATCCCTGATAATGAAAAAATTATTATCGAATTTTAATGTCGTTGTTATACGAATTAAATTTTTAAAAAATTTCACATCTTTTTATGTGTTATTGCCATTAGTAAAAAAAAAAAAAACTTAAAAAATTATCAGTTTTTTATAAAAAAAAAACAAACTAACATACTTAAAACGACTTATAAATAATTAATGACCCTTTACATTGATAAGAAATAAATTAAAAATTATTTTATTTGTTATATTTTAATATATAATTAAAAAATTTTCTCTCTCTCTCTCACTCACACTTGATAACAATCAATTTGATCATTTTCAATAACTTATTATCAATCAATAGATTTTTATAATCATTTAATATTATGTCACAATCGCATAAAAATTTATTTAACAAAACAAAAACAAATGATAAACATTATAAAAGAATTGTTATTGATCAATCATTAAAAATTTTTTTAAAGAGATTTATTTATGCTTTTTTTTGAAAGGTAGAACGGAATTTGGTACGATTATGGGTTAATAAAATAATGGGTTGCAATAATTCATTAAATGATCTTAAAATGAGAAATGAATTTTTACATTGTCTTGCCAATTGCATAGAAAGAGGAAAACTTTCAGCACCATTTGATATGGATCCAGCCAAAGGTCCAATAAAAACGATGGCAAATTTATTGGTACATAAATTATAATTATTTTAATATAAATTTTTCATTAATTAATAAATTATCAATAGAATGAGGTAAATGGGTTTATGTTGTTGTTTTTTTTTTTAGCCTAATCACGAAGAGATTCCAAATCAAGAGGATGAATCAATGTCTATGCTACAATTTTTACCAGCTAAAAATGGTGGATTTATATTACCAAAACCTTTGCCATCGGTTGGAGCTTATTGTTATTTGGCAGCAACTGCACAACCTCAATGTAATCCTTAATAAATATTCAAAAATATTCATTGCTATCATAAAATCCAAATTTTTTTTGTTATATATTGTTCATGATTTGATGTTTGAATTATTTCAAATAAACTACATGTAGAAAATTTTCATTTTGATGAATTGTTATTGAATTTACAAAATTTTTTTTAACAATAATAATACATTGACCAAGTATTTGTATGAAATTTAATGATTGTTACACATCATCAAACCATTACCTCAAAATATTTATTAAAAACCGTTAATTATAAATTTTTATTCATTAAAAAATTTAAATATAAAATAAATAAACTAAAAAAAATAGATTAATGTCAAATGCGTAGAATAAAATAAAAAAAAACAAAAAAAAATTTTTAATTAATCGTCATTCTTATTATCAAACCATATCATCTTCCTTATTCAAAAAAAAAAAAAAATGTCGATTGATAATAAATTATTATAATAATTTTTATACTCATTCATTAAAAAATAAATTATAATTTAATTTAAAAAAAAAAAAACTCAATTATTATTATTATTATTTTTTTTTTTTTAAATTTTCTATAAAACTTAAATGGATTTCTTACCTTTATGTCAAATCTTATTTAATGTAAAACTTTAAATAAAGTAAAAACAAATTTTTTTTTTTTTTGTAAAATAATATTATGTAAGGCTTTTAAAAAATAAATGTTATTAAATTAATTTAATTAATAAAAAAAACGAACAATATTCAAAATTATTTTTAGATTTTAAAAAAAAAAATCGTTAAGTTTAGATTCGGCCATCAAAAACCGCGCAACTTTTTTTTTTTTTTTTTTTTTTTTTTTTTTGAACAGAAGAATTTTGTCTTCTGCAACAAAATTTTTATTTTTTTAAAAATCATCCAACAAAATTACAAGTTTTTTTATTATTATTTTATTGATTTATTATTATTATTATTATTTTAAATTGTATAATAGTGACATGTAAAAAATAAATAAATAAATAAATAAATAATGATATTAAAAAATTGTTTAATTTTTTTAAAATTTACTATGTAAATTGTAAATGTAAAATGTATTTTGTTATTAAATTATATAAAAATGTAAGTTTTTTTTTTTTTATGAATAGAAATTTTAAATGACATTTTTTTATTAAATCACTTATCACTAAGTTATAAAGCTAGTAGTTTTCCTATAAAATTATAATAACATTTATTTCATTTATTATTATAGGAGCCTATATAAAAAAAAAATTTTTTTTTTTTTTTTAGGTGGCAGTTATCTCAGCCTAACTTTAAACAACATTCTTTGTTTGATTCTAGTTGAAATGTTAATTGACAAGTAAAAAAAAAGAAAAAAAAAACTTATTTAAAATTTATTTAGATTTAATGATAATGCTCATATCAGTTTTTTTTTTTTTTTTGATTAGAAAAAATTTTTTTTTTTTTTTTTCGATATAAAGGATACATTTTATAATTTGATATGGCAATTTATTGTACACATCAAATTAATATTTTCAATAAATTATATTTAATGTTATTTTTTAATAATGATTGATTGATTGATATAACAAAAAGAAATTATAATTAAAATTGCCAAAAATAATATATATTTTTTATTTTTAACAACAATATGTTTTTTTGATATATATCATAAGTAATGTTTTGCCAAGTAAAAAAATTTTGGAAAGATGCTATTGCCAATATTAATTATGAACAACTTCAACAGTAAGTTTTTAAAATATTTTTATAATTTTTTTTTTTTTTTTTATAATTATCATCACATTTAATTATTATTTTATTTTAATTTTAGAATCAAATGGAAAAATTGCAGAGCTGCACCAAACTCTGCATATATTCCGACAACAATAGAACACTGTGCTAACGTTTTAACTCATGGGGTATAATTATTTTTTTTTTTATCTTTTTATGTATTACAAAAAAAAATTTATTTTAATTGTAAATCTTTATTTTTTAATGTACTTTTTATTTTAGGTATGGGTAGTGCCAAGTATTTTAGGATTTTTAAACTTAATTGAAAGATCTCAAAATTTTGCTCAATTTTGGGCCGCTCTCATATACGGAGCTTCATTGATTTTGATTTTTACCGTTTCAACTTCTTTTCATTGTGTATTTTTCTGTAGCAGAGACAGGTACCAAAATAAAAATATGATTTTATATAATTTAATGTTTTGTCGAGTGTGTATGAAATAAAAACTTTTATTTTCAGACAATTGAAAGATTTTTTGCATAGATGTGACAGAGCTGTTATTTACATATTTATAGCAGCTTCATATTTTCCTTGGGTTACCCTTCGTTCATCTCCTGAAGGAACAATTGCTAAACATTTGAGTTGGATAATTTGGGTTTTAGCTTTCTGTGGAATTTCATATCAACAAATATTTCATGAAAAATACAAAAGATTAGAAACATTTTTCTACGTTTTTATGGGTGTAGCTCCTGCTTTAGTGGTTTTAAACAATTGGGTGAGTATCAAGTCAAAATAAAGGCAAAATAAATTAATTTTTAAATATTGTCATACATTATTTAAACCAAATTCTAGACTGATCTGAGTGGATTTCAAGAACTCCAATTAGGAGGAATTTTATATGGTATTGGAATTATTTTTTTCAAATTGGATGGAGCAGTTCCGTGTGCTCATGCTGTGTGGCATCTATTTGTAGCTGTAGCAGCAGGAATTCATTACAGAGCTATTTTACATCACTTGTTTCCCCCAGTTGTTCCTTTTAAAAATTAACTAAACTATAATATTTCAGTTTTTTTAGAAAAAATCATTTTCAATTAAAAATTTATCGATCAGGGTTTGAAAACATAAATAATTTAGAATATTTTATAACTACTTAATCACAGGTTATAACTTGAGCTCAGCCACCAAAAATGGCTTTTTTCTACAGTTTAATTTTTATTCAATCAAATTTTTAGATATTTTTATTACTTGTGTAAAACAACATTAATTTATTCGCAATGAGAAAATAGAAGTTTATATATTTCAGTAATATTTACATGGTTTTATAACGTAAAGTCTATAATATTTAGTGTCACAAAATATTTAAGTAAAACCTCTTTTTATTTTTTATTTTTTTTAGTGATTAATTTGCTCTCTGTAAAATAAAAAATTAATTTTAAAATAATTTTAATTACTGATAATTGACTGTTTTAAATCAATTGTTGTATTGTATCGAATAGTTATTGCCAAAATATTTATATATGTGTGTGTCCTATGACAAAACTTAGTACTTATTAAATTTATTTATATTAAATAAAATATTAATATATATTATACACGATCATAATACTAGTCATTATCTCATGATTTTTATTTTTATTTTTAATTAATTATTTTTTGGAATACATTCCAAAATTATTGTTTTTTTTGTTTTTTTTAAATAAAGTTACGATTGAAATATTATTTTGCCAAAATAAAAAAAAAAAAAAATTGTTTTATTGTTTGTAAAAAAATTTTTTATAGTGAAAATATTTTTTTAGAATATAAATTTATATATATATATATTGTTATTAATTAAATGTATGTTTTAAACGAGTAGTAAATTTGTGCCAAAATTAAAAATTGTATTTGAAATTAATATTTTAAAATGTTTGAACCGGTAAATATTTTGAGAATTATTAATTTTACACATACTCACAAAATATTTTTGTATCTTGATAATTAGTTATGTGTTCCTTTCTGTATGATTTAGGGTAGCATAAATATTTATAAATATGTCTTTAATCAAACTATATAATGAAAGATATTTGTAGTGCAATAATAATTATTTATTTAAATACGAATAAATTTTAAAAATAAATTATAATAAATATTTTGTTTAAAAATATATATTGCATTTAAGTATAAAATGTAAAATAAATTTGATTTGTTTATTTATTTTATTTTTTTTTTTTTTTACAAATTTGTATCATCAAACGTCTCAAAATAAAATTTTTAAAAAAATAACAATTCGTACCCTCTAAATCCAATTCATACTAAAAATATTTTTAAAAAAATTATTCACCGATATAAACAGGAGTTCTTTTTTCTGCAAATGCTTTTAATCCTTCTATTCTATCCTTAGTTGGAATTATTTGTGCATAGCAAGCTTCTTCGACTTTTAGTCCAGAACTTAAACTAACTTTTAAACCCTCATTAATGGCAACTTTAGACATTTTTACACCTATTGGTCCATTCGGAATGATTTCTTCAGCTATTTCTAATGCTTTTTCATAAGCAGCAGTTCCTTCTTCATTTTGTTTTACTACATGATTTACAATATTTAATGAAAATGCTTCTTGTCCATCTAGTATTTTGGCAGTGAAAATTAATTCTTTAGCTTTAGATGGTCCAATTAATCTTGGGAGCCTTTGAGTTCCTCCGGCTCCTGGAATGATGGCTAATTTTGTTTCTACCAAACCCATTTTTGCATTTTCTGAAGCAGTTCGAATGTCACAAGCTAAAGCTAATTCCAAACCTCCTCCTAAAGCTACACCATCTAAAGCTGCTATGACAGGCACTTCTAAATTCTCAATGTCTGTCAACATTGCTCTTAGATCAGAAACAAAATGTCTAACTTCTATGGGACTAAGTTCTGCTCTTTCTTTTAAATCAGCACCAGCACAAAATACTTTGGGTACCAAACTTCTAAAAATAACAACTCTAACATCTTTATCATACTTTATATTTTTAATAGCTTGACTTAGTGAATTAACTAAACTCCTATTAAATGAGTTTTTTCCGGAATGACGATTAAGACCCAATTCTACAATACCCTTATGCTCTTTGTCCAAATATTTAATTTTTAAATTTTCTTCCAAAACTTTGCTGAAATTTCTTCTTAAAACAAACAAGTGGTTAAATTTTATTTTACCCGGAAAAATCATTTTGAAAATTATAAAGTGGCGGGTTTTCTAAATTTCAACCCTTTTACAACAGGGTTACCACTGTAATAAAATTTAAATAAATTCGAATATAAAGAATAATCTTGCAAATGGTGCACTTTTTGACGCATTAAACTTTTTTACTAATTACTATTTTATTTCGTTTTATTTTTATCACAGTTTAAAACTAAAAATTTTAATAAAAAAAACTTTTTACTAACCTAATCTTAATTAAAACCTGTACAGTTAGTTTTATCGAACGTATTTACACAATCATTTGAAATTAACATACAGTTCTGCCATCATGATTTATGCGATAATCATTAACTTATTAATTTCGGTACAATTGCAGTTGAAAACAATTATTTTTTAAAAAATCATTTTTCTAATTTTATTTATTTTATGTGAAGTTAAATTACATCATTGTTAAAACGCACGGTTTATTTATTTGTTTATTTTTGACTTATATAATCGAAAATATAATTTAAAATGAATTTTTTAATTTTATTACTTTTGTCAAGTAGTTTTAAATTAAGTATTTGTAAGACAGCAGAAGATGAGGGTGTTAAATACGCAAATAAATGTGAAGGTATTTAAAACAACTTGTTTTAATAAATTTTTAAATGGATGTTTCAATCACAAATTTACTTAAAAATTTAAAATTTCCTTTCAGTTTGTAAAATAGTTGCTATAGAATTATCCTCAAAACTTAAGGAAACCGGAAAAACTCACGAAGTTATAGAAACAGGCTATTCACTTGATGAAACGAAAAAGAAAAAAACAAAATATCGAACTTCGTGAGTTATAATTAATACTTACTTATCATTTACACACCTTTTTTATTTTTAGTAAACTTCATTCATTTTTTTAATTAATTTTAGTGAACTGAGACTTCTTGAAACATTAGATAACATTTGTGAAAGAATACTTCAATATAACATTCACAAAGAAAGACAAGATAGCACTAGATTTGCCAAAGGAATGAGTCAAACTTTTCAAACGCTCCATGGTTTGGTGTATGTATAATTAAAAAATTTTTTAATTTTTTATTATTCAAACTCAAACTTAATCTGTGCTTTGAAATGAATTTTATAATTTTTCTTTTTTTTTTTCATTTGTAGAAATAAAGGAGTTAAAGTTGAATTAGGTATGCCTTACGAATTGTGGGATAAACCTTCTGCCGAAATAACAAATATGAAAACACAATGTGAATCATTAATTGAAGATTATGAAAATGCTATCGAGCAATGGTATTATAATCACCAACAAAGTGTTTCTTTAGAAAAATATTTATGTAGTGATTTAGTTTTAAAAAATGATAGTGATGATTGCTTGCATGAGACATTAAATGTTGCTAGTCAAAGAAAGGGAGAAACTAATGATGAGCTATAATCTACATAATTAAATTTTAAATTTTCACTTAATAAATTTAAATTTGATTTTAAAAAATTATGTATTTTTATAATACAATGCAAATTGCACTTTAATCTATTTTAAAGTGGTTATCTGCAGTATCCTTGACATTTGCCAAATATTTTATTATATATATAACTCTAAACATTTTATAATTATTATCAGTAAAAGTATGTTGATACTTATTACGAATAATTTATTAAATAAGTTTTAATATTAGTATAAAATTTCTTTTGAAAATGATAAGTAAAAAGTGGCTACCTTAATTGTATCAATTGAGTTTAAAATTAGTCAAAAAAAAAATTTAATTCTTATAAAATAAACTTATATTTTTAAAAAATTAGATGTAAAATTAATTTGTTTTTCTTCTATATGAACATTTATAATTTTATCGCTGTACGTTAATTTTAGTGTGAAAACGAACACTTACTCAAAATATTTTTTAAGAATTAAGTTTAAAAAAAATTTTAAATTAAAAATTTAATCAAATCTAACTATTTGTATTTGTTAATAATAATTTTTATTTGATAACCTTACTTTTCAGCTCATAAAGTTATAAACATCCATTTAAATCATAATAAATAATTATTCTTAACTTCAAATTACACATTTTTTTTATTTAAACTACAATTTTTTTCTATTTTTTTTCTTCTTAACTATTTTTGGAAATTCTCTTCGGTTTCCATTTAGGTTTTCCTCTAGCTAAACGCACCTTTTCCATGTGTTCTACAAAATCTTTGTGTTCATCACGATATAATCCGTACCTTCTTAAATAAACCATTAATTCCTCAATTATTCCATATTTTGGATAATAGTCAACAACTTCTGTTCTTTTATACAATGGTTTTTCTGAAAATAGTTTAACAACTCTCATCGATTCCTGTTGCCTTTTAGTAAGTGGATCTCCAAATATTCTATTTCTTAATCGTGAAATTCTTTCATTATAAGGTGTTTTTACCTGAACTAATTTTAAATACTTGTTCATATTTTCTAATATTTAGTTATATAAGTAATAAAAAACGAATTCAATTAAATTTCTATTATTATTTTTAAGCTTAAAATTATTCATTTAAAAAATCATAATGGCTGCACTGTATTCACAAGTAAACGTGGCAGTAGAAAAAATGTAAACAAAGCATTATGGTTTCGTGTTCTGCACGTATCGGACAAATAACATTTTATTTCATAAATTTTTAATTATTTTTCTATAAATTTTTGTAAACTTTTATAATATTTCTCAACGGAAAAAAGTGAGTTTAATAAAGTATCGTCTAAAAATTTTAAAATATTTAAATGTCATTTAAGTATAAAAGAATTTGGTGAGTAAGTAATTTTTTTAAATTTCACCTGCCTTTTCATAAATCATTAGTGTCTTGTAAAAAATCACTATTTGATGCTGAGAAAAAAAAAAATTGATCAAATATATAAAGTTTTTACACAATAATATTCCAAGTTAATTAAAAAAAAAAAATCTAAACTAAAAATTTCACTATTGACTTTCATATCATTTATGATTATTGACAATTTTTTTTTTTTTTTTTAAATTTTATTTTCTCATTATAACAATTTTAATAAATCAGATAATAAATTAATTATTAAATTTTTTGATCACAAAATTATTAGTTCAAAAGAAGTCAAATATTAATAATTTTGAAAAAAATTAAAAAATTTAATTTATATGTAATTTTTTTGACATTTGAAATTTTACATAAATGTTACAAATTTACTCGTACTCGAATTAATATATGCTATTTTATACTTTCATTTGTCTGTAAGAAAATCATCATTTTCTTTTTTTTTAAATTCATCTTATTAGGCATACAAAAAAAAAAAAAAAAAAAAAAATTATTATAATTTCACTTAAAGCGATATGACATAAATTTATGTTATTCATAAAAATAAATTCTTACTGATTGTCGTTCGATGTGAAATTTTTTTTTTTTTTTTTTTTTTTTAATTTTTTAAAATTTTATTTTATTGGAAAAAAAAATTGAAAATAATAAAAAAATAAAATTTTGTAAAATGCGTAGCAATGCGCTATATTACAAACCAATAACTACTACGCTTCGTTTTTAATATAATATATATTTTTAGACGGATATAAGGTGGGAGCTTAGAGGCCGCTTTATTTAAAACACCTTTATACAAATTTTTTTATATAACGTACAAATAACATTTGTCTTTGTGTGCTGAATAAATAAATTTTTTTTCTCATTTATGAATTAAATTACGTCGAAACAGCAGGATAATAGTTGTAATGAATGTAAGGTAGTATTATTATTATTATATAAATATTTTTATTTTGTACGAATTAATTATCGTTAAAATTAATAATTTTAGCAAGTCACGTCTTTTAATATTAATTTTACCTGCATGAAAACCATCATTTTTTTTTTGCATCCACATTTTCAAATCATTTGATACTCTTAAAAATTTTTTTTCAATTAAATAAATTGATAAAAATTATATTTAAATAAGATTTTAAAATTTAATAATAATATGAATTTTTTTTTTTTTGTAAAAATTTTATTCTATTGATATATATATGTTAAAATTTTTTATTTTAAATTTAATCTTATGCAATGTATTGCTTCATATTTAAAATAGAATAAAGCGAGGACAATCAAATTTTAAAAAAAAAATTTTTTTATTTTATATAAAAATCAGAGTAACATTATATCGTCATCAAACGTTTTATTGTTGTGCGCATAAAATAATTTTTTTTTTTTTAAATTTAAAAGTTTTTTTTTTTTTATTTTGAATTCTGTGTGAATTTTCTAAATTTTTCTGTCCTCCACACAATTTTTTGCTTTGATTTAAATGCGAATTTATTCAGAAAAATGAATTTAAAAAAAAATAATAATAAATAATAATAATTAAAGCACATTTTAACAATTTGACCTTGCTCGAAATCTAATTTTTTAATTGGCAAGTCGTAATATTTTAATTTAATAATTAATAATAAAAAAAAAAATGATAATTTTAAAAGTGTTCATAATGCATATTAATTAATTTTTTTTTTTTTTTTTACGAATTCATTATTCTCTGTTGTAAACATTGGGAATGTATATTTGGCGGGAAAATTTCACGCATGATTTCTGAACGTGTTTTCGTTCTTTTCAGACGTTATCTAAATTAGCCAATCATCGCATTGCACAATATTAATCAAAATTGGTAACTTGAATAGTATCATTCACAATCGATTGATTATTATTTTAAATAAATTATGGGATCGCCGGTTAAATTGTATGTCTACGATCTGTCTGGAGGATTATCAAAAATATTATCAAAATCATTATTGGGTAAGTTTTCGTTTAATCTCAAAAAAAAAAAAAAAAAAAAAAAAATTCATTTACCTTTTTACGTTTTCATATACCTTAATGAATTTTGTATGAAACATTGAATCGAAACCTGAATTTATTATTAATTTATATATAAAATGAAAGTGATGTAATTATTCAGAAAGAATAAAAAGGATTTTGCCTTTTTTAATTATCAAAAAACTATAAAATTGTTTGAAAGATCTTTATTAATGAAAATAATAATCATGTTCTTTGACGGTTGGTAATAATTTCAAATCGTTGTTAAATTTTTACACGTTTAACAGTTGGTAACAATATTAACTTCGTTTAAACGTTTAAACCATCTTGTTTTAAAATTTACTTTTTTTTCTGTAACACTTTTATTTTTATGTTATTACTTTATCAATAATAATTTTAAAGAAAAAAAAAACGAACTTTCGATTGGGAAAACTAACTTTCGTGTCGTTTGTCCAAACGAAAAAACCGTTAAAAAATATTTTACCCTTAATTTATCAACAAAAAAACAAGGAGGGGGGATCTAATGACGCTGGGGATGATTGATAAAAACTTTTATAAAAAAAATAAAATTTCAAATTTTATAGTGAAAAATTAAAATAAAAAAATTTTTACATAAAATAAGGATTTGTTTTTAATTTTTGACAGTATGGCGTGCACTTGGCACAAACACAACAACAACAACAACAACAATCGCGAAAAAATGTCTAATTTTCTTTATTTAATTTTTAAAAATTGATTTTTAAAATTCATGGAAATTTTTTTTTTATTTTTTTGATGTATCAAATTATAGTTTTTGGCAACTTAAGAAAAAAAAAAGTACTTATTTTTGCTATAAAAAATCAATTGATTGATTTAAAATGATGTTTCTCTCTCTCTCTCTCTCTCTCTCTCTCACTAATTTCCTTTTTTTTCAAATAAAAATTGGCGTGAAAATGTGTCGAGAAACACGTGAAATTTTTTGAATTTAATTTCAAGTTTGCATATAAAAAACTAAGTCACGTCGACATAAATTTTTCGCCCCAAATAAAACGTTTTAAATACTTTATTTTGAGCCCCCCTATCCCCCCCGCTTTTCAACGTTTTTTTTTTTTTGAACTAATTTTATTAATTTAATTATTTTTTTTTTTTCAGGTAGACAATTAGAAGGAATATGGCACACGGCTATTGTCGTTTTCGAAAAAGAATATTTTTTTGGATCAGATGGCGTGAAATCGTGTAGAGCGGTAAGTTTAACTTATTATTTATAAAACGGTTTGAAGTTCAATAACGGCCAAACCTTGTACCTGATTTTGACCGTGAATAATAATAATCATATCACATGGAATCGATATTAATAATTTATTATGTTCAATGAAAAAAGTAGTTTGGAAGGGAAATGCGTTTGAAAAAAAAATAATAATTTTTTTCTAATGACGAATAGTTATTTTGATTTAAAGTTCAAAGTTCACGGAAAGTAATTAAATTTAAAATGGCGGAGGGTTTTTATTTTGGTTTCTAATTCGTTTTTTATTTACCGTTCGCCATAATGATAATAATATATATTATTTTGCCCAAGTCGTTATAATTACGCACAGGAAATTTATTATTATTATTTATCGATGTCATTTTAATGTTTTAAAAAAAATAAATAAATAATAATAATATAAAAATAGATTTACGTTGCATCGTATGAAACATTATGTAAATAATAATAATAATAATGTAAATGCGTATTTTAAAAAAAAAAAATTTTTTTCGTTTTTTTTTATGTGGCAAATCAAACTTGCAATGACAAAAAAAATATTAAAAAAAAATAAAAAATAAAAAAAAAAAAGGACTGAGCGTCTAAATTTGGCTCGAGTTTAAAATTTTTTTTTTTTTTTTATTTTTAAATCATCATCATCATCATCATCATCATCATCATCATCATCATCATCATTATTGTGAGTCGAAATTTCGACGCTTGTAGGCGCACATGTGAATATAAATTCATATTATTCTCATATTCTCTGTTTGCCGTTTCTCATTATTATATTAAAAATTTTTTAAAATAATAATAATAATAATAATAATATAAATTTACAAAACGTAATAATAATAATAATAATAGGAAGAAGAAAGGTGTGAGAAATTAATATAGGTATGACTGTTTTTTTTTTTTTATTAATTTTTTTAAAATAATTTTTCCGCGTATGTAATCACGTGTAATTTTTTTATTTTTATTTTTTATTTTTTTCTTAACGTTTTGGGGGACCATATTTTTCAGGGGGGAAAGAAAAAACTGACATCGAAGTAATTAGTTTTTTTTTTTTTTTTTTTTTTTTTACTATTTTTCGTGTGCGATATAATAAGTTTGTAATAATTTTTTTTTTTTTCAATAGTTTTATTAACCGAAAAAATTCAAATTTTAAATTGGGCGTGAATTTTTTTGAAAAAAATTAAGGTTCAAAACCTTTTGATAGTTTTAAATGTATTAATAAATTTTACGTAAAAATTTATTAAAGTCAAAGGAGAATTTTTGTGTTTTTGTGTTAATTTATAATAATTAAATTTAATGGAGTCTAATATGGCGTAATGTATTTATACATTGGCATTTCATAATCTCATACACACTCATTCTCTATTTGGCTCTTTGACAAATATTTTGGGGCAATTTTTATTTTAAAAAAAAACTGTTATAAAAACAAATTTTGTTTTCAAAAGTACTGACTGTCGTTTTTTTTTTTTAACTGTTTGTGTTTGCGTGCAGGGCGGTACGATTTTACAGGAGCCACACGAAATAATTCCTTTGGGAGAAACTTTCGTTCCCTACGCATTGTTCAACGAATACCTTCAAGGTTTGAAAGAATCTCGATTTGCAGGATCCTCATACGATTTACTCAAACACAATTGCAATCATTTCTCTGACGAACTTGCACAATTTCTCTGCGGAACGAGAATTCCAAAACACATATTAAACCTTCCGGATATCATAAGAGAAACGTAAATTTCATATATATATATATTTGAATTCAATTGCGAATTAGTATTATTATTATTATTATTGTTGTTGTTAATTTTAGTCCCGTAGGTTCGACTCTTTTACATCTCATAGAGGGTTTAGGAAGAGGACCCAACATCACGGCTGACCGTAGAAATAGTAGAGAAGATTCTCCCGAATTTTTACAATTGAATTCTGCTATAGAAGAAATAAGGTGAGTTTTTATTATTATTATTATTATTGCAAATACGTCATCAGGTTCGGTACTTATCGGTAACGACAAAGAAATCTTCTCGAACTGAGATGACGTACCCGAATATAAAAAAAAAAAAAAAAGAACACGTGGTTTAAATAAGAAAAAAATAAATTTATATTAATTACGTTTAATTACTCTATGACAAAAATGCAAAATTTTTTTTTTAAGTAAAACATATACGTACATATAAAATTAATGATAAAAACGAACAATATAAAATTATTTTCGGGTACTAATAAAACAGGTACTTGTGAATAAATTAATTGTGATGCGAATAATACTCGGTACTCGGTACTCGGTACTCGGTACTACCCCTTCGATTTTTTGTTGTTGTTGACGTCGTCGTCCCCAAAAAAAAAAAAAAAATTAATTTTGCCGACGTTCTGTCGTCGTATTATTCGATCGCATTCGAATTTTATTCGAATTAGGATGAGAATTCATTCTGTGAAGTTTATCTATGGATAGTTGAACGTTCGCATCATCCGTTCGAACGTTTTCCTCACTGAAATAACGGTAAAACGATCGAACGTTTTCCGCGAGTTTTTTTTTCAATTTTTTCTTATCAACGTACAAATGCGAATTTAACACGTTGCAAACGTTCACGGGATAATCTTTGACGTCTAGTAAATCCGAATCCCGATTTAATTTCGATACGATTTGTAAATTTTTTTTTTTCCTTTCTCGCGACGGGGGTGACTGCGTCGGCGGTGACGGTGACGGTGACGACGACGACGACGACGACGTCGTCGACGATGAATTTTTTTCAAACGATTTAATTTTATTTTCCGTGACGGGATTTTTAGTGAATTGCCATAAAATATTATTTCTGTAAGCGGAAAGATTTGCCTTTTCGTCGCATTCACTTCCGTCCGATTTTTTAACTTCCGGATATTTGTACCAATTCGACGAACTCTCGACTTCCTTCAAATTGTTGTCTTGTTTTAGGTAATCTTTCGTTCTTTCGTATTGACCCAATATGTCTCTCACTATCCGACGATATTCATTCAAATTATTTTCCCAATCGTATTTATTACTTCCGGTTATTTTCTTCCCTCTTTTCAATTCTATGGATTCGCGCGATGAATTTTCTTCGACGGTTCTCGAAGTTTTCGATTCGTACAAAACATTTTCCGGTTCGTAAGGTATGCGTTCTTCTTCGTTTTCCTTCGGGTCTCGTAACGGAGGATTCCGATTGTGACGTTCCGTTAATTTTTTCAAAGGGATTTTATCGAAGAAAATTTTTTTATCCTTCGACTCGATTTTATCGAACGATTCGCTTTCGAGAGTTTTAAATTTAATTATCGATTCGGAGGATTTTATTTTTTCCGGTGATGACGTCACGGTAGATTTTTCTTTAGGTTTGAATACCATGGTTTGATTGAGCGGCGACATTTTCCGGCCGGAGGTTTTCGATCTCGGCGCGTTTTCGTTAGGATTTTTCACGTGCCTGTGAGTTTCGGGGAAATTTTTCAATTCGAGTTCGTCGGAAGGTTTCAAATTTTGAACTTTTATCGCTTGTCTTTTACCCTGATGACCGTGTAATTTTTTTTTTAACGTTTCTTGCTGGACAAGTTTGGATGTTTCGCTAATTTTATCGACCAAATCATTTTGAACGTTTTGAATTTTCAAATTTTTCGATGATGTGTAAAAATGTTTCGATTCCGATTCGGTCGGTTTTTTAAGTTTGATCGTGGCGTTAGACGTTCCTTTCGTTTTCGTCGATATGGAATCATCGCAACGTTTTTTGATTTGAACGGCGTCGACGTCGTCACTTTTCGAAGACTCCATTTTTTTATTATTTTCCAGGTTTTTAACAAATGTTTCGAATACATGCTTGTCACTCGTCACGTCATTTTTTAAATAATTGGATTTTTGTTTATCAATGTCGGTTGATTTTTTTCTGTAAACATTTTCCAAGTGAGTCACGCTTTCTTCATAAATGTCGGTTTTATTTCCGGTCGTACCTTGGAGTGATTCCGATTTTTGTCGTCCGCAAGTATCACCGTTATTAAGGTTCTTTATATTTTTTTCCAAGTTAGGATTTTGTTTTTTCGTATCCGTAATAACTTTCCGGATTTTTTTCGACGTCGATGATACTTTCGAACCGGAAACTTCACGTTCGCAATTGGACGAATTTATATTTTCGTTTACGTAACGAGTGTCGGATAAATTATTTTTACCGAATAATTTTTTCACCGAAACTTCCCGACTCGTACCTTCGGCTAACCTTTCATTCGATCTTATTTCCGGTGGTAGACTTTGGGAAAATTTCGTATTTTTAAATTTTTTATCGGGAAAGGGTGGAGTACTCAGAGCGAGGAAAGCTTGTTCCAACCTTTTAACAATTGACCAATCCTTGACGATTTCACTCGGATCGTTTTTTTTATCGAATTCGATTTTATTCGTTTTCGAAATTAATTTTCTTTCACTCCTTTTCGGAATTGATTTGTCTCCTTTTCCCTTCGACATTCTTCTTCGTACGATAAAATCCGATTCGGGATCATCAGCAGCGGCAGCAGCAGCAGCAGCAGCAGCATAATCATCATCATCATCATCACCACGATCATCACGTTTTTTTATGATTTTCTCGACGGGTTTTTTAATAGTCGTTAAATTTAATTTGTTTCCCGATCTTTTTTCAAGTTTTTTCACTTCCGACAACGTCAGGGGGCATAATTTTTTATCGATCAATATGGAATTTTTAATTTTGTCAACGTCACGTGACGTCTTATCCACATTAGTATCGTTGTTTGTTTTTCCGGCTTCCATTTTATTTTCCGGTAGTAAACCATCGCCGTTCCAAGATTTCAACGAACTTTTACAAATTCTTTGAAGTTCGACTTCGACAGTTTTTCTTAACATTTCGTAGGATTTGATACCGAAATATTCAGGGTCGAGTTTTTCACTTTCCAAATCGAGAGAATTTGATGATCGGCTAACGACGGTCGTGTCGGAAGGTTTGATTTTACTCCTCCAAATCTCCGTAACCTTTTCCGTTTCGTCGTTGAAAGGTATTTCGATTTTATTCGAATTTTCTTTCTTTTTGAAATTTTTCGTCAAACCCCTTTTCTTTTTGTTGTCGACGTTTTCCAATTTGGGTGCTCTGATTGCTTTTTCGCTACTCATTCTATCGATTTTGTTGTACTTTTCCTCTCTTTTACAATTCGATATGGTTTTTTTCATTTGATTTTTTTTTACGGGGTTCGAGGGGGTCGCTTCGCAGTCATCAATCAAAGTTTTACTCTGACTGATTTCCGGATTTTTGTGTAAAATCCGAACGGGTTCTAATTTTTTCTTTTTACCCTTTGAAATTTTTTTCGAATTAATTATTACGAAAACGTTATCATCTTTTCTTTCGAGCGGTACTTCTCCTTCTTCTTCTCCCCCTTCTCCCCCTCCATCTTCTTTTTCTTTTTTAGAAATTTTTTCTTTTTTGATTTTTTTCCTTCTCGTCATTTTCTCTTTGACTTTTCCTGTCGCGTTTTTTTCAATCGTCGCAACCCCGGTATTTTCTAATAAATTCAATATGGATTTCATGTATTCGTTATCTATTTTCGAAACGTCTTCTAGAAGGAGAGGTCGTCCGGATTCTAAAATATTATTCATGTTCGTGAGAGATTCCAACAATTTGAGTAAATTTTTTTCACGTAAAATTTCATTTTTTAAAAAATCTTGAAAACATTGAATTTGGTCGTTGTCTTCGTCGTTTTCGTCGTTTTTGTCGTCTTTATTATCATCATCATTCTGTTCGTCTTTTAATAAATTTTTCTTGGGTACAATATCGACGGAAATGAATTTTTTCAATTTCGAATCATCTTCTTTGTCCTGTGGTTGGGATTTCGTTTGTTGATTTGTTGTTTTGTCGGGATTTTCTCCTCGTGAAAAACTCGCCTCCCTTTTTTTTTCCTTTTTCTCATCATCATTTTTAACATTTTTAAGGGGGGGTGACGGCTTTGGCGACGGCGACGGCGACGGCGACGTGAGAGATTTCGAATCGTTTTTATTATTTTTCTTTTTTAAATTTAATGTTTTTCTTATTGTTTTCAAAAATGGTTTTGTCGTCGTCGTCGTCGTCGTCGTCGTCTTAAAACTATTACCTTTAGATTTTTTTAAATCTTTTTCGTATTTGTAAAAATATATTTGAGATTCTAATTTGATCATTTTAAATTGATTTAAATTACGTTTGGGAGACTCGCGTTTTTTTTTAATTTTTTTCATTCCGAAATTTTTTTTTTTTTTTTTTTTAATTTTTCCCACCGTTCCCATCATTTCCTTACCGTTTGTGGAAGATGACTCGAAATTTTTTATTTTTCCCGTCGTTGTCGTTTCTTTCCCGTTGGATGATGAGTCGACATTTTTTATTTTCCCTACCGTTGTCGTTTCCTTCCCGTTTGTGGAAGATGAATCGAAATTTTTATTTTTAATTTTTTTTTTTTTCATAAAATTTCCCGCGGATCCTTTTGATTTTTTTTTCCTCCTTAATAATATTTTCAATGGCGACGATGATTTTTTTTTTTTAAATTCTTTTTCGCTTAGTAAATTTTTAATTTTTTTTCTTTTCACATTGCTGCTGTTGTTGTTGTTGTTGTTATTTTTTTTAACGATTTTTATTCTGAAAAAACAAAAAAAAATTACAATTTGTAAAAAAAAAAAAAAAAAAAAAAAAAACCGTTAAAAGATTCTATAAATTACTTTTTTTTTATATTCACAAGTTTTTTTTTCTTTTGTAATTTGTTATTTTTCATTATATATATATATATATTTATATTTATATAAAAATAATTTGTTAATCAAATTTAATTTTAAATCCGCATCATCGATTCGAATCTATACATATCCCTAAAAACAAACAAAAAATTATTATTATTATTATTATATTCAATATGTTGAAAACGGTTACACGTATATATGGTTATCAATAAGTTATTCATTATCATGACGGTTTGAAAAATTAAAAAATTTCAATTTTTTTTTTATGAATATGTAAAAAAAGAATATAAATATAAATACATTAAATTTTATTTGTAGTAAATAAGTATTTTATCACAAATTTCGAAAATTAAAAACGGTTTTTTTTTTAAATAATTTCACTTTAAAATTTAAATCAAAAATAAATTTTGAATATCCAAATATATAAATTTTGTTGTTGTTGTTGTTGTTGTTGTTTTCGTTTTTTTTTTTTTATTATGTAACGAACTCGAAAATATAATTGTGCAGGGAATTTTTTTTTTTTTTTTAAATCAGATTGGTAAAACTGAATGTTAAACCGGAAATGGTTAACGATTTTTAAAATTTCGATTTGGTAGATATTATTTAATTAATTATTTTTTATGTGTTCAATGTGTCAAGACGTCATTCATTGGCATTAAAAGCTAAAAGAAACGAAATAAATGAAAAATTAGCGAAAAAAGAAAGAAAAAGAAAGAAAAAACAGAAAAAAGAAGAAAAAGAAAGGCAGAGAATAAGAGACGTCGAAAAGGAATTAGAAAGAAGCGGGTATCAATTTAGGTACTATACGAGTGTGCCTTGATTTTTTTCTTTTTTTGTATTGAATGCAATTACACACACACAAATATATCGCTATTAACTTTTTTTATTGTTTGTTTGTTTGTTTGTTTGTTGGTTTTAATAATACCTGAAATCGAATCGTGAAGTATTTCCGCTTTGTTTGCATATTTGTTGGCGACGATAATTTTTTTTTTAATGGTTTAAACATTTAAATTTTTACAAATGACGTGTCGTTGCGTTCGTTTATTATTATTATTATTATTAATTTTGTCCTTTTTTTTTTTTTATTCGTTAGAAATTTACCGGAAACAAATTATTCACAAGATATGGCTGAAAGCGATGGAGCCGCTCATCAAAACGGCGAACCCGTTGCAACGGAAGAAGAAATATCGGCTGTGACGCAAAAAGCAAGAGACGTCGTGGCGGAAATAGAAGCAGAAGAACGTAAAGAATTGGAAGAATTAAGGAGCAAACAAAAGGATCCTCCGATCACTTTTAAAGATGCTGTCGACGTAAAAGATCATTTTAACGCTCTCGTGAGTTTGGTCGATGGGAAATTAAACGATGAGGAAAAACAAAGTCTGGAAGAATTAAAACAATACATGATACTCGACGAAGGTTCCTGGGCTTTGGGCGATGGTTTTTTAAATTTTGTAGGTGAGCGCGTAAAAAAAAAAAAAGGCTTCGTTTAAACGAAAAAAAGGTTTAAGGATAAACACCTTTTGATATATGTAAAAAAATTTGTTATACTCCAGGAAAATTACTTCACGACGAATCATTTAGCAAGGATGTGAAAATTAGGTTACTCAACGTATTGGCTGCTGCGGCTCTTAAAGATGACGTCATACTTTTATTACATCAGGATAGAAGAGATCACGTGCTCATGAATTATGCGGGAAACGTGGAAAGGATAACGGTCGAAGAACAACAAGCGTTATCATTAATGGTAAAATAATTTTTTTATTTTAATTTACTCCCTTTCGCTCCGCCCTCCTCCCCTCTGCTCCGCCTCCTTCCCTCCCCCCATCTCCTCCCTCCCCCCTCCTTTTCGTTATCAGTTATCAGTTATTTTATATTGAAACAATGAATTGGTTACAGTTTGCAAACTTATTCGAAAATTTAAGCACATCCGAATGGCTTTTGTACATATCAGAATGGGAGCATAACAATTCGAGTCTGAGTAATATTCGTGTGACGACAAAAGTTGGGATAAACGCTCTCCTGTCGGAAAATCCCGTTTTGCAAGATCGAGGTTCGGCAATAGTACACAACATGGCTTGCAAGGAGGTAAAAACTGTGGTCTGTATCTCAACGGGACAAAGGAGATCCTATATATTTATCAAAAAATTTTTTTTATTTCCTTTGTTTGTTTTTTTTTTTTTTTTTTTCTAACGAGAGTGATAAATAATAATAATAATAATAATAATAATAATAATAATAATGAAAGTAACTTGATTGATTTTTGATTTTGTTTTAAGATTTTTCTAACTCAAATATTTTTTTCTTGTACAAAATTCAGGTTCAGGTATCGTTAAGTAATAAAAAACAAACAAAAACAACAAACAACTATTCCTCCTCCTTCCTCCTCCTCCATTAATTATTATTGTCATATTCTTTCTCTTTAAAAATTTCAAAGAAGCCATATTTATTTTTATTAATTATTATTATTATTATTATTATTATTATTGTGAGACGTTCGGTCGGTCAATTTTTTTTTTATTTATGATCGAAATATTATAAATATTTCTCCTTTGTCTCGATTTTTTTTTTTTTTTTTTACATTTCACCACAACAGATGATAATCCATTAAAAAGAAATAATAATAATAATAGTGTTAATGATAATAATAGTTGGTAAATGAATCATTCATTTCCATAATTTCAGAAAATGCATCAAAATAAAAGTCTTCGTAGATTATTACCTCCTGGTTGCATATCAAAGGTAGATCTGTGTGCACAAAAAAAATAAAAAAAGGAAAAAAGGAAAGAAAGTGTTTTAATCATTATTATTAACTTGTTTCGACGACAGGAAAAGAGAGAAAAAAAATTTGTTGTTGTTGTTTGTTTGTTTTGGTTGTTGTTGTTGTTGTCGTTAACAAAAAATTTTTTTTCTTCGTCGAAATCGCTAATAGTAAATCCAAAAGATAATAATAATATTAATAATAATAATAAATTTCGATTGGCTAATTAATCAAAATAATAATAATAATAATACGTGCTTCTTTATTTTTATCGTGTGTTGTTAAACAATAAATCTTTTTTTAAAAAAAAAAAATGTCGGCGACGAAATAGTTTTAAAAAAATTTTTTTTATACATTTTTTATTTTTACGTTTTCTCTAATAAATGATTTCAGGTTTTCGACGACGTGGCAGTAGAATTAACAATGGCTTTGTTACAATTTTTAAACAACAATCCGTCCGAAGAATATTTATTTAGAGCATTGAAATCGTTGGCGAGATTTTGTCAGATTTCCGGTCAGGAAGTGACGCAACTCATACAAATGATCGGACCCGATCCGAAAAAATTCAAAGGAAAATCTCAAAGGATCGACGAACAAATCGGAATTATATCAACGAAATTACGTTAATTATTTATCCTCCTCCTCCTCCTCCTTATTAATAATGATAACTTTTTTTTATTTACGCGCGTTTGTTTTATTTTTTTTTTTTTATGTGTTAATAATTTTTTATTTAAAAAAAAATTAAAATTTTGCCGCCATTTTTATATGTACATAAAATAATAAATAATAAAAAAAAAAAAAAAAGGAAAATTAATTAACAATTTTTTTTTTGTATTATTACGTCACTGTCGACTATAAACTTTACAAAAAAAAATTTTTTTTGTTACCTTTTTAATTAATTAATTAATAATTTATTATTATTATTATTGTGATAGAGGTAATAAATTACCTTTTTAAATTATCATTATTATTTTTTTTTTTTGTCTCGTGTTGGAAGATTTATCTCGATTCGTAATAATACGGATATTATACTTTTAAGTGATGTACCTAGTTACGCCCCTGAAATACTAAAAAAGAAATTATTACGTAAATGTAATTGCCAAAAATTATTATTATTATTATTATTATTATTATTTTCCCGTTATTTCAACGACAGTCGTTTATGTCAAATCGCATTAAAAGCTTTGTCGCCGTCATTTTTTTTTTTTTATTTATTTTTATCAAGTTTTTATTTATTTATTTATTTATTTTGTTGAACGATAAATAAAATTCTTATTAATTATTATTATTATTATTATTATTCTTATTTATTAATTATGTAACTTATTAAGTTAAGAAATTAAAAAACAATTTTTTTTTTGTTTTTTCTGTAGAATGAAGTAGAAAAAAACGACGACGACGCCGACGTGTTTGTTAACGAGAGAAAAACTAAATAAAAAAAATTATTATTATTATTATTATTATTATTATTATTATTATTATCAGGGCAACATTTTGATATTAAATCGCGAGATTTTGATAAGATTTTAAATTTCTGTTGTTTTGTTTAAAGAAGTAAGTAAGTAAGTAATAAATCAATCAAATTGTGTTTACATGTGCGTTCGTTGGACGCCATTTTTTTTTTTTTTTTTTTGTCAACGGTAAGAAAAAAACGTTTTTTTTTTTTTTTTTAAATTTAAATTTGGTTTTGTGTGCGATTCGAATTCATTCTTTAAATTAAAAAATTTAAATTTGATTTATAACCGGTTGGTTGGTTTTTGAAAAAAAATTGAAATTTTAAATGATTTGAAAATGTCAAATGAAAAAAATTTAACGGTTTTTTGTAAGAAAAAATTATTAAGACACGTACCGATATTAAAATGGATTGGAAAATATAAAAAATCAGATTTTGTCGCGGATACCGTCGCTGGAATAACTTTAGGTTTGATGCTTATACCTCAAAGTATTGCTTATGCCGTTTTGGCTGGAGTTTCTCCAGAGGTTTGATTATTTTTCACAAAAAAAACAAAACTTTTTTTTTTTATATATTTAATTTAAATTCAATTTTTACAGTACGGTTTGTATTCATCGTTCATGGGAGGTTTTATTTATTTTGTTTTTGGTACCGTTAAAGAAGTTTCCGTTGGTCCCACGTCATTAATTTCTTTGCTCACGTTTGAATTTACTTCTCACATGCCGTTGGAAATTGTTTTTTTATTTACATTTTTATGCGGTTTTATCGAATTTTTATGCGGATTATTACATTTAGGTAATTTAAAAAAAACATTTTATTCATAATTTTCATAAATAAAACCGTTAATTTTCTCTCCATTTTTCTCTCGTAGGATTTTTAGTTAATTTCATACCGATGCCGGTTACGACGAGTTTTCAATCTGCCACGTCTATTATCATTATCGCATCGCAATTGAAATATTTTTTCGGTTTGAATAATATCAAATCGGGAAGATTTTTAAACACGATTTATAACGTTTTTTATAAAATACCTGAAACTAATTTGAGTGACGTCATATTAAGCATTTTCTGTTGTGGTTTTTTACTATCGTTAAGGGTTCGAAAACCGTTAATATCACATTTAAATAAAAAAATGTCTGGATTTTTTTAAATTTTTTGTTTGTTTTAGCAAATAAACGAATTGAAAATAATGAAAAAAAATAAAGAATTGAATCAAAATGAAAAAATATTAAAAAAAGTGTTATGGTTGATTTCGATAAGTAGAAATGCATTTTGCGTTTTGATTTGTGGCCTTTTCACTTATGCTTTTATAAATATTGGACAAAAAGAACCACCTTTTGGTATAACAGGTTAATTTTCTTTTTTATTCTGTGGAAATTATGCCTCTCACATGATATCACACACAAAGAGAGAGAGAGAGAGAGATTAAATTATAATTATTAATGAAAAATTTTTTAGGAAATATACCATCAGGCCTACCAACATTTCAATTTCCACATTTTTCAACACAAGTAAATAATAAAACTTTATCATTTGTTGAAATATTTTATGAAATATCACCAGGTTTAACGGTTGTACCATTGATATCAATTTTAGCCAACATAACAATTGCTAAAGCATTCAGTGAGTAAAAATGTCTCCCCATTAAATGTTGATTCAAAAAAGTTTATTATTTATTATAATTGACATTTTTTTTTTGTTTAGGTGGAACTTCTTCTGTTGATGCCACACAAGAAATGTTAACACTTGGTATTTGTAACATGATGGGTGCCTGTGTTGGTGCAGTACCATCATGTGGTGCTTTTACCAGAAGTGCTGTATCAAATTCGAGCGGTGTAAGAACACCACTATCAGGATTATTTACCGGTAATTATTTATCATAACTTTTTACAAAAAATTCCTTCAATAACTTCACTTTTCCTTCTTTCAGGTACCATATTATTATTCGTCATAAAATTTTTAACACCTTATTTTTATTACATACCAAAAGCAAGTTTGGGTTCTGTTTTAATATGTGCCGTCATTTTTATGATTGATGTTAAAACAATGTTTTTACTATGGAAATCAAACAGTAAGAATTTCAAAAAAAAAAAAAAACATAATCGTGAATTTTATTAATAATAATAATAATAATAATAAATTTTGTTTGTTTGTTCAGAAAGAGATTTCCTTTGTGCCATGATAACTTTTTTCATGTGTTTATTTGTCGGAGTTCAAATCGGACTCGCTGTCGGAATTGGTTTATCCATGTCTTATTTATTATATTTATGGACGAATCCGAATATTCAAATAGAAATCAAAGCAAGTTTAAAAATAATTTAAAATTTCCCCCCCCAACCCCCTACCCCCCTCGATTTTAATAACATAATAAAAAAAAATTTTTTTCTCATTCAGACGACTAACGAATGTTGTAATTATTATTTGGTCACACCCGACATTGGATTATTTTATCCTGCCAGTGACGTCATACAAAAAAAAATCAACGATAAATGTACCATTGATGACGTTCCAGTCGTTATCGATTGTTTACATTTAAAAGGTATCGATTATACAAGCGCACAGGTACGTAAATTTCCTTTTTTTTTTTTTTTTTTTGTTTTAACTAACTAATAATAATAATGATGATTATTTTATTTTTTAAAGGGCATTAAAGATTTGATTAAGAATTTTCAAAAAAATTGTAAAAAACTTGCTTTTGTTAACGTTAATAAAAATATATATACGACTTTGAAAAATTTAAACGTTGAAATGACCGTTAAAAAATGTTTTCGCGACCATTACGAAAACGGAGAATTATTCCTTCATTTAAATCGTGACGATTATACGAATCCATTAATTTTATTAAAAACCGTTAAAGATTTTAATAATATTGATGATTTAAATAAATTACCGGAGGAAAAAGTATTACTGCCGAACAAAGAGTAAATAATTAATATATATAAATTATCCGTCGTGGGAGAGAGAGAGAGAGAGCAAAAATTTAATTAAATTTTATTATTTTGTATATATTTATATATATTAATAATGTTTGAGATTGACATGTTTTTTTTATTTGGTTTCAAATACCCCCCCCTCCCCCTCCCCCTTCCCCCTGGATAAATCCTATCGATCGTATTTACGTAAAAAAATAATAATAATAATAAACAAAACAAAAACGATACATGTATATACATATAAAAAAAAAAAAAAAATAGAAAACTTTTTCTATCTTAATAATTCAACAGACAATCTTTTGTACAATTTTTTGAAATTTTCAATTCTTCCAACCACATTTTACCCCGATGATTCCACACGTGGTATCGCGCCAAATCCTTTCTCGTCACCATCCCGATAACTTTATTCCTGTCAGAAACGACGGGAAGATGACGTAAACCTAAAGTACGAAACAATCTGAAGACTTTTGGAAGAGATGCAGACTGTAAAATAACGACCGTTTTCAATTATTTTTCACGTGGGCTCGTTGAGGAATAGATAATAATAATAATAATAATAATAACTCACGTGGAGAACGGTGTAAGAAGAGGGATTCATGTAGGGTCTTAAATCTATGTGATAATTCATTTCCTTTTCGGAAAATTTCAATTTATCCAATCCCATGTATCTCGGATAAGCGTTTCTAAATATTTTTAAATTTATTTTTTCTAGAAAGTTCACGTTGTCGTTGTTTTCGTTGAATACTTTATTATTCAAAAGAACGATTAATTGTGATCTTAATATGAGTCCGCGATATCGACCGTTGGATTTTATTCTTCCGTTATCCGATTCCTGGAATCCAAAAAAAAAAAAATTTTTCGAAATAAGAAAAAAAAAAAAAAAAAAAAAAAAAAATTTCCCCGTTTTTCGATTTTCTAGAATTTTTTTTTTTATTAACCTCATCTTTATTAACGACCGGAAATCCATTGTGAGATTTTGTTTTTAAAATATTTATTATGTTTGAAACTTTTTCGACGACGGAAAATGCAATGACGGGATAACTCATTATTTCCGTTGCGTAAATGGTTATGGCCAAAGGTGGAGGTTCCCACGGGAGTATGGGTACTCCTTTGAGTCTCGTATGAATGTCGTAAATACCCTATCGGTAAAAATATTTTTAATTAGTTTTTATTTTTTTTTAACGTAGATAAATAGAAGAAGAAGACAATCTACCTCGTTGAAATAATCACCCGTCCATTTTGCAACAATCAATGTTATTATCAATGGAAAACCTAAAACGATGTTACCCGTTCCTTCCATTAAAATAACGGATAACGACAAAGGCATTCTGACGATGCCTCCTAATTGTGCAGCTGCTCCAATCACGGCGTATTTAGCAGGATCGGCCCACATCTTTAATCGAAAATATTATTTTTTTTATAAGTAACAACCGTGTAATAATTAATTAATTAATAATCGATAATTAAAAAATTTTTTTTACTTCGTTGTTTGTCAGGTAATTTAATCCGATTCCGCACAGTCTTCCCCAAGCTGCTCCGGTCAGTAGGGAAGGTACGAATAATCCGCTGGATATGCTGAGACCGTACGTCCAACAAGACACAAAAAAATAAACCAAAGCAAAAAGAAATATTGATAATGGTTTTATTGATAGAGAATCGTCGTGAAAAAGCGAACGAACGCAAGCTTCCGGAGTTTGAAACCATAAAGCTGCCAATGCATTGTATTCACCGTCTCCACAATACATCTATAAACAAAAAAACATAATAATAATAATAAACGATTCATTAAACATTATTATTATTATTATTATTCTTACTTGGAGTGGATAATCTACGGGATTTTGACCAAGTGGCTTACAATCATTAACCAAGTAAATCATTAAAAATGCAATTGTGCATGTAAATGATGCAACAATTGCAGCTTCTATCACCTTCATCCAATTAAAAGTTAAATACCTGGAAAAATTTTTTTTATTTAATGAATGTATCAACAAGCGACAAAGAAGGTTTTATAAATTAAATTTTCATTAGTTAATACCTGATTCTGAACACTGTTAATTTATAATTTAAGTGATTTGATAAAGCACCCAAGAGTCCACCTAAAACTCCCATTAAAACATATATTAAAAGTTCTCCCAATTCATAATGTAATGTATCGAATTTTCCAAAATCTAATAAACCGGAATATGAAAGATCACCCAGATGACCGTGGTAGGCGCTAAGTATGATATTCAAAGTGAAAGTAGATATTAATGAACAAAATAATATTCTACCGATGAGACTCTGATGCCAAAAACTTATTCCTTCTTCAACGGCAAACAAAACACCGCCTAACAAAAAAAAATTGTTTTTAATAATTATAATGTTATTTATATTTTCAGTTGATGGTATAAAATGGAAAAAGTTACCTATGGGAGCACCAAAGGCAGCAGCAACACCAGCAGCAGCTCCAGCAGATACAAAATCTCTCTTTTCGCAGTCTTCACGAAAAAAACCAAAAACTCCAAAATCTTTTGAAAAGGTTGTGCTTTTACCTTGGGATATGCCAGCTCCGACAATCGATCCAGAGTGTATCATAGGACCTTCCTGTAAGCTATATATTATTATTTATTATTTAAAACACTAAAAACAAGATTAAAGAAAATTACCTTTCCGACTGATAAACCACCAACAACAGACAAAATAACTCCTAATACTTTAACAACTAATGTTTTTATTCTGACAAGTCTTGGTATTAACACTCCATTTAAATAACATTTTATATCTGGAATACCACTTCCAGCAGCTACAGGTTCTATGTATGTTACAATAATTGAACCGATTAAAACGAATAAAACATTGAAAGCTATCCAAATCAAATATGGTTGATACAAGCATTGCTTCGAAATGCAAGTATCGATATCTAAAAAAAACAAAAGATGGTTCTTTCAAATTCACTTTAAAAGAAAAAAGTTTTTAACCCAGAACAAGAACTATTATTAAATTATGAAATGTTAGATAAAGTTACATTAAAAACATACATTTTTTAATATTTTTAAATTTGAAGGCAGTTAATTCATTAACAGCGATATCAATAAAAGCAGCAATAATTGCTGTAAAAATACCGATGAAACAAAATATAAACCACCTTGATATATCTTTTTTAATAATAAATTTAAATCCTTTCGATCTTAATTCCTGAATCAACAGGTGATTTTCACATATATCAAAATCCAAACTCTAGAACAAGGAAAAAATTCTATTTAAAATGTTTTAATTTAAATTACATTAAATTTATTTTTTTCAGATAACCCAGTTATTAGTTAGTTATAATCAATATTCGAGAAATTTTACCTCAAATTTTCCTGATATTATATTCAATTGACCAGGTTTTACAGTTTCTGTGATTCTTTTTTGTTTTCTAGGAGGCCATTCTTGATTTAATGATAATGGACTAGCAGTAGCATCGACACACTCATATTCTGTTTGACAACTATCTTCGCTATTATTTATAGATTGCTGTAATATTATTTAAATATTACTATGAAAAAAATATAAAAAGAAAATTTAATTTTTTTTGGAGAAATTTTACATATTAAATACTTACAGAAAGGCCATTGTACCGTAAATTGTGATGTCTGTCTCGAAGTAAAGGTTCCCTTTCTGGAGATTCAGTACAATTTAAAAAAAATAAACTTTTTCTTGGCATAGCCATTTCCAATTGAAACGGCAAATAAAAATGTAATTTAATATTTAACTCATACTCTACTCGACTCCCTATCAGTCGTTTTTATCGTGGTTTTAGACTATTCATGACATTAAATAAAGATAAGGAAACATTTACGCCTGCTGAGTTATAACTTAAATATTTTCACATTACTCACGAGTACGCACGGTCTTAATCTCTGATAATTAACCTTCGTAAAAAACTTCACATTGATTTTGGTTTGCCATAAGAGAGTCGAAAAAAATGGAATAAAAAAAACTTTTGAAAATAAAATGAAATAAATACAAATGATACACAACCGATTAATAAATCAAGCACTTTATTTGGTATAAAATAAAAAAAAAAAAAAAAAAAAAAATTCATACTAAAATAAATTTACAAAGTAATGATGCAGTACTTTGCCCTTTGTTATATTTTCACTAACTAGATTTTTTTTTTTAAACATAGATACAAATCACAAAAAAATTAATTAAAAAATTTCTTCCCTAATTTTCAATTATAATTCATTATATACGCTAACTAACTCACTCAGTTCTGAGTTCTCTATAAAAATAATAAAATTATACTAATACATGAGCTAGAGATTATTAAGTTAATTTAAGGTAATATAGTACTGATAGTCAAAAAAAAAAAAAAAAATCATCATCTTATACAGTAAATTCAAAAAAAAACAAAAAAAACAAATTAATTATGATAGTTTTGCACCGTATCGTCTGCTTTTATGATGTCTAGCTCGAATATTAGCCCAATGTTCATAATATCTTTCGGCTTCCAACCATTCCTGATATTTGTACCACCATTCTTCCCATTTCATATAATCTTCTAATGTTAAATCCCTAAGATATCCCCTACTTTTATAATATCTGAAAAATTAATATGAAAAAATATGCCATCTTACATCTTAAAAGGAAAAGAAAGAGTGAGAGAGAGAGAGAGAGAAAAACGTCATACTTATATCGAACTCGAACATCGTCCCAAGCAGTTAATCCTACAGGTGCTGCATGCATGGATTCAGGAAAATATCCGGCACCGAAACGTCTGTCACCAAATTCAGGTGCACCAGCCCGATAAATGTCTTCTTCGTCAGGTCCTTCGATGACGACCTGATAAAAAAATTGTAAAAAAAAAAAAATGAATGTGAATTCATTTATTTATTGAAAAAGTGAGTAAAATGTCAATGATTACTTTGAAATCCGTTGAATCCGAATCTTTCGTTATTCTCATATTTTTTACAGAATCTATATCTCTTCGGTCGACGGACCATTGTGCCATTTTTCCAAAACGCTCCGACAAAGTCAACTTGGGAGCACCGGTACCTTAAAGATATTAAAAATTAATATAAACTGGATTGACTTTAAAACTCTTTAAAATGTAAGTAAAAATAATTACCCGAACCATCCGACGAAGAAGAACTTTCGTCTGATTCTGAATCGGCCGGACTTCCAGGCCTAACGATTTTCTTTTTTTTAGGTTGACCCTCAACTTTAACGGCAGTCAATAATTTTCGTTTACTATTTGAATTCTGAAATTTTTACAAAATGTTCATCAGTATGCGATAAAAAAAAAAAAAAAAAAAAGGAGGTGCTAAAAATTTAATTTAACCAACTTTTGATCGAGGAGGTGAAGGAGGAGGTCCTCTTGGATCCCTAGGAGGGCTACTTCGTTCTCTAATTGCACGAGTACCCTCTAATCTAGGTCTATCCTTTGTCGGAGGTTTTCTACCGATTGTCGTCGAAGAAGTTTTTGACGTTAATTTACCCGGACCCGATGATGTTCGAGATCGTGGCACGGAAAAGGAACGAGATCTGCACCAAAAAAAAAAAAAATTTAAACTCGCGTTAAACGAATATCATCATCATTATTATTATTAGTTAAAATTTTTTTTTTGATCCTACCTTGATCTGACTGAATTTTTTCTCCTTCCGTGTTTGGGAGAACAAACCGAACAACTTTCATCGGAACACGAGCTCACGCTTTCGCTTCCTGACCCGCTACATGGACTTTTAGGTCGACCTCCCGACGTTTTCGAAACGGGTTTCGTAGTCGGCGGAGTATGTGGTCTCCCGCGAGCGTGGGGACGCGACGAAGACGAGGATTTCCCGCTGGTATTACGCGGAGGCGAATAAGATCGTGAACGCGATTTACCTCGAAGACGAGACGACGACGACGATGGTAACGGCGGAGAACGAGGTCCAGTTCTAAAGAGCAATAACATTCCCTTTTTCAATAAGAACGCACACGCACACGCACACACACACACCCACAGACAACAGGGTTCACAACAATGTGATAAAGACTTGCCTCGGTTTAGAAGGCAAAGATCTTTTGCCGCCACCACCAGGACTACGACTTTTCGACCGGCTTGACGATTTTTCACCGTATAATTCTTTATAACCGCTATGTCTCCACCTGTTCGGATCCTTTTCTTCTGCTTCGAGTAATTTCTTATTCCAATATTGACTTTGTCCCGTCGTACCCTCTCTACGAGCTTTTTTCATAACGTTATCGATTTCTTTTCGTCTGGGTGGTGACGCAGCTGTTGAAACAAATTTACTCATCATACGTCTCGCTTTTTTCTTTAAATTAATTTATAAAAAAAAAAAAAAAAAACAAAAAAACTTACGCTTTCCTCGGCCTGAACGTCCCGAATAGGCATCCATACGTAATCTAGAAGATTTATCCGTAACCGACGACGAAGATTGTACAGGATCACGACGAATTTCCCGCGATCTCGAATCACGCTTTCTATCCATTTAAAGTAAACACCTGAGAAAAATTAAAAAATTATTATTATTATTATTTTTTAATCTAATTTTCTTTTTTTTTTTTTTTTTTTTTTCAGGTAGTTTGTGGTGAATGGCGATCGTTTGAAATCGACAACGGCAAAAAGTAAGTAATTTTTTACATAAGAAATTTTAAAAAAAAAATTTATAATAATAATAATAATTAATTTTAAAAAAATGTGTACTTTGAATTCTGGCATTAGAATTAAAATTTTTTTTACAATGACTAAAAATTACTCAAAATCTCTTTTAATAATAATAATAATAAGGTAATAAACAGGTAATAATAACGAGTAATAATAAAATTAATTGTTTTTCTGTTTTTTATGTTTAAACTTATAAAAGTGACTGTAAAAGTATGAGTACATAAAATTTTATTTTATTTTTTTTTGTAGAAAAAACATGGCGTTTTAACAATATAATATTATCATGTAATTTACCAGTCCATTTTATAATTATAAACAAAATTTTCTTATTACCTGTGTTGTGGTAATCATTCTCAGATTTTACCGTAACTCGATAAATGCATGCAAACCGATATAATAACTTTCGCATAACGTTCTTTTTTTTTACTCGTTTTCGCGAAACTGCGAACTTTGTTAAACCGGAAATGAGATTGTATCTCGACCGCCACCGACGTCGACGCCATTTACGAACACCAACCTCACTTTTCTCTTAAGTACGAGAATACCTTTAATACAACGTATCAGGTTTTTAAACGAAAAATAAATTTTTTTTTTTTTTTTTTTCAACTTTGATAAATTATTACTGAACTTAACAAGTAACAATAATTTTGATCTAAAGTTAACAAAAAAAACTATTGAGATTTTTTCTAAAGAGAAAATTAATTAAGCAAAAAAATTAATTGTATCAATCATGACTCGATATTACAAAAAATCATTTTTAAAAAAAAATTTTTTCTTTTTTTTTTCTTTTTCTTTTCTTTAACAACATTGTCATTAGATTAAATATTTTCTATACTTGTAAATGAAGACTTATTATTTTATTGTTTTTTTTTTTTTAAATTAAAATTTGACTATAAAAATGAAATAAATATTTTTCTACATTATCGTCTAAACCTTTGTTTAGGTAATTTATAATTCATATTTGAAAATTATTAATCAACTTTTTTTTTTATCATTATATGTGATTAACCTTCCACATTATTCATTTTAAAAATATTTTTAAAAATTTAATGAAAGTTATCTAACGATTAAAATAGATTTAAAGTAAGTAACTTAATTATTTAGCATAATCGTTAAAAACACATTTTAAACTTTTTTTTTTTCATAAGGTTATTTTTCTGTATTTCTGATCCTACAATACCTTTCCTGAAACAAAACAAAAAAAAAAAAAAATTATCATTACTTAAATTATGAATAAATAAATGCTACAAAAATTCATTCATAATGTTTGTAAAGTTTTAAAAGTCGATAATTGTGACGATAAAAGTTGCAATAAAAGTAAATATATATGTAAAATAATTTTCAAAAACTTATCGAATATAATTTCTAAGGGGGCATAACGACATGCAGTCACTCATGAAAATACAAAATAAAATAAAAAGCAAAACATTGAAAAAAATTATAAATTTAACAAACAGCATTGTGCCTTACCAAAATGTGCAGTTAGATTAAACTGAAGAGTTCTTGAAAAATACTCAACACCAACTCCCGATAATTATTTAAATAAAAATCCATTGAATAATATGTGATCTTCACAATAAGTTATTATAAATGTAATATAATAAAAACTAATGTTTTTAAATATTTTAACTGGTTGTAACACCATTATTTTAATTACTCATAACTAAATATAATTGAATTTCAATAATGTTTTATGTACTTTTTACAGTGAACACATCAATACTAAATTTCAATTGATTGTGTTTTAATTTTTTCAATAATCTAATTTTTACAATTTATTTAAATTTTAATAATGCAATAAGCAGAATATATTAACATGTACATTATGTATAATCTTTTTTATCTACACAATGAAATAAATAAAAAAATTTTCAAAAAAAATTAATTTCAAATGAATGAATAGTAGCAGTAAACAAAATAATATTATATATGTATAATGATATTAAACTAAGATAATTTTTTATAAGTACACTATTATAAGTGAAATGACAAAATATTGATAAAAATATTATATCAAAATTTAAATTATAATTTCACTACAATTTACGGTTTTAAATATATATATATATAAAATTATTATATTCTTCTAATTTTTTGCACAACAAAAAATTGCACCAAAATTTATTGTCATCATTTTTATTTCACAAACAATTTGAAAAAAAAAAAACTATACTTTAAAACATTTAACTATATAACCTTTATGTGATAATACTATGTAACTGAAAGAATTGTAACAAATATTCTAAATGGTACTTACAATAATATTAAAATATTTAATTAGTTACAAACATGTAATATGGCGTCCTTTGCAGAACGCGATCAATACAAATTATTATTAAATTTAATTAATTGTTTTATTTTAATTTAAATAAAAGTCTATCTAGAAAAGGCATTGTAAATATTCACACAATGTGTAAAGGGACCAATTACTCTAAAATTATAGTTCATTATTATAATTAAATTTTAACACTTAATTTTCATGTAAATATTTGAAAATGCAGGGTTGCCAGCTGATCAAAGTTGTGTCATACATTATGTAAAGTAAAAAAAAAAAAATATCGGTGTTTTTAAACGTAGTAATTTACAATTAAGGATCATATGTATTGATTTAATATTCAATAATAATTTATAAATTAATTGATATAGTTTTACATTAAAACTAAATAATACTAAACCAATTTTGTTATTTTTAATTACTTTTTTTTTTTTTTTAATTAAAATGTTGCGTCCAAAAGCTTTAACTCAAGTTCTTAGTCAGGCCAACACTGGAGGAGTTGATAATACATTGTACGTTAAAAATATTTTCTGACAAAATATTAAATATTATCGAACAAATTGTTTAAATTAAATTGATATATTACCTGTAGTTTATTTAATGTAATTTAATATTAATATGAATTTTTATAAATTGTAGGTTGTTAAATCATGATGGTGCCCTTTTAGCATACAGTGGATATGCAGACAGGGATGCCAGAGTCACAGCAGCAATTGCTAGTAATATATGGTCTGCATATGAAAAAAGTGGAGGAACTGCTTTCTCAGAAGATACATTACAAATTGTTTTAATGGAATGTATGGTAAGAAATTTAATTTTAAATATTAAATAACAGTGTGTGCTGAAATGTATGATAGGGTTGTATAGATTTACATTATTTTTTTTAGGAAGGAAAAGTAGCTATAACAACAGTAGCTAACTTATTGCTGTGTTTATATTGTTCTAAACAAAATGTAGGTTTTGGAATGCTAAAAGAAAAAGCTAGAGCATTAGCTGAATATTTAGAAGGTCCATTAAGCCAAGTTGCAAATTCTTAATTTTTGTGAAAACTCCATTTTAAAGTGCTGGATATTTAAATTTTAAGACTGCAATACATATTGTGATACGTTTAATTCAAAAGTTTTATTGTAAACCTAAATAATTTAACAGTCAAGTGTTAAAATAAGTATTTTTTTTAGTTACAGCAGGAAAAAAATTAAAAATTATACAACTTCTTAATATTTTAAAAATTACTGTGTAAAATTTGCCAATGGATGATCATCATAACTATTTTTTAACGTTTTAATTGTTATTAGATAACAATTTTAAACGATTTATTTATGTAAATTACTAAAAAAAAATGTTTATATATATATTTTTTAAATCTTAGGATTATTAAAATGTTGTTTTTTTATTATCAAGTAATTTTTAACCTTTTAATGAATTTTTAAGAAGTCAAATTAAGTTATGTACATCATTTAAATAAAATCAATGTTTTATAGATGCTGATCTTATGTGTTTAAAAAAAAAATTTGACAATAACAAGCATTTTATGTTTTATTAAGGTTAGTATCATGTATTTATTTTTTATTATGAAAAATAATGAATTATAATATCACAGCCATTAATAATTTATCTTTTATTAATAACAATCTAATGTATTCGCTTCACATTCTGTATTAGATTTAATAATGTCTTCCAATAAAGAATTAACATCCATATGAATATTCCACCATTTTTTCTTTTCATTTAAAAATTCATTATAATGAAAATTTTGCAACATTTTTAAAAACTTTTCAGGTTTTAACTCTTGCAACAGAATTTTATTAGTGTAAGACTGATCACTTTTACAATTTTTTTGAATGTTAACGAGTAAACTTAAATCTCCTTCTTTGACTATTTCATCGATTACTGCTTCAGAATTAGAAATGGTTTTTTCAATATGATCATTTCTTGTTTCCATATTGAAATTATTTACGTCTGTATTTTCAAATAATAAATTTAGGTTTGTATTTTCAGATGTACATTCATGAGAGTTTTGACTCTCATTAAAATTAATCAGTTTGTTTAGGTTGCAGTAAGATTTTAAAATATCTAATAAATTAGATGTTATTTTAGCTGATATCTGAACAACTTGAAAATCACAATCGTTTATTAAAGTTGATAAAAGAACATACAAGCAACCAATTTTAGATAATTGATTTAATGCATTGTATAAAGTTTCGATAATACTTTCATCACTAATATTAATATTTTTTTTCTTTTCAGAGTCGACAGGAATACCATGAGCAACTAGTACTTTAATAATGGCAGCTTCCCAAAAAAGAAGAGCATTAATTTTAACTTCCCAATGCAAATCGCAAATAGCTAAATAACTCATCGTTTCAAAAAAAACTTTTAATTGTTTGGTTCTACAAATAAAAATTAAAAGTTACAAAGCAGAAGGTAAGTTTTTTTTTTTTTTTTAAATATTATCATGCATGCATACCCTTCATTAAAATAAGAGTAAATTTGTTTTAACAATAATACACCTTCTTGCCGCACAATCCCTTCCGTTTCCCTTTGTATTAAAACAATAATTTCGGAAGATAAATTTAACAAATTTACGGAAAATCTTATTTTATTTATTTTAAGTAATGCGGATAAAGCTCTTATGGCAGACGCTCTAACGTAACTTTCAATATCTCCATTTATAACTGATTTAATTAAAGTGAAAAAATTTTTTTCTTCAATTATGTCAATCAAACTCGAATTATCTGAAATAGAACATAAGGTAAAATTACTTGTAATGTTTTTTTTTTTACTTGAATTATTTTATTTTTAAAAGTAATTTACCGTTTTCCGCGAGTTCTACAATTTTCGTTAGAACTTCGATACAACTATCGCGAATTTCCCAATGAAGATTATGAATATGTTTAAAAACGCTTGATAAAATATTTTCAAATATTTTATAATCTTTATTATGTCGACTTACTGAAGCAATGTTAACAATTATTCGTTTTACTAACGATAAAGTATCGACAATCACCTAAAAGAAACAAAAATAATTTTATAAAAAAGTTTATTAGGAAAAAAAGTAATAAAAAACATCACTAAGATGGCTTCTCTTATTAGTTGTTAGATACTTACAACAGATGATAATTTTTCATTTTGTAACAATTGACTAGTAAGTTTTATTAGATCAAAATTATCCTTAAATTCAACTTTATTAACATTAAACTTTTCTATTAGTAAAGACAATGATTTTATTATTGCTGAAATTACTGAAATATCATCTGCAGGATTATGTAATTCCTTTTTAAACTTTTTATTGACAGGTTCATCGAAACATTGAAAATTTATTTCATCGTAGAAAAACATATTTAACACAAATACAAGAAAGTTTAACAATACTGTTACTTCCCTCTGAAATGATTGAATATTGTTTAGTAAAGTGCAGGTGAATAATTAATAAATTTAAATTATTTTATAAAATTGTTAGTACTCACCAAATCTAAGCATTGCAGATTTGAACAAACATTTAACAAACCTCTCACAGCCAAATTTTTTAAATTTTCATGAGTTTGTATTTTATTTCCAAATGAATTAATATAAATTTTACAGTCAGGTATAAAAAAATTAAAAAATTTTTCTATTGTTTTTTCAAATATTTCATTTTCTGGTGAACATTTATAACTTAGCAATGGAACAAGCTAAAAATTAAAATTATTAACTAGTTTTCAATATTTTTAAGTTAAAAAATTAAAATTCTTTTTAACAATAATAATACTAACTTGAAGAACTGCTAAATATAATTGAACAGATGTGTTAGAATTAAATTTCGTTTTAATTTCATCAAATTGTAATTGGCAAAATTTTCCCAAATTAATGATGCAAATAAATCGGTTTTTAGTTAATAAATTTTCAAAAACTTTCAGTATAATAAGAAGGACTTCATTTTCTGAACACTTATTATTGTCAACTAAGATTTTTGTTATCAGATGTAAAATGTAAACCGATGAAACAATATCTGCAAAAACATAAAACTTTTAAAATAATAGTCACAATAATGTGAGATAAAAAATGTTAAATAAATCAAACCTAAAGTGCTTTCATCATGGCAATTATTAAATAAACTTTGCAAATTATTTTCAAAATTATAAAACTTTTTAAGTTCTAAAAAATAAATTTTGGAATTTTTTCTAATAGAATATTTTAAAATTTCCCTAAATAATTTTAGTGATAAATAATCTCTTGAAGTTAAATTTTTTAATGAATTACATGTTAAATCGATACTTTCAAATTGTAAAGACAAAATTTCTTGCAACATTTGACCAACGATCGAGTCACCATCAGTACTTTTTAAAAATTCATTTAAAAATTCTATACCTAAAATCAAAAAAACATTGGTTTTGAAAATAAGTTTAAAAGTTATAAAAAAGTGAATGAAAAATACTAGAAAAATTTAAATATTTACAATAATGAGCGACATAAAAATTAGAATTATTCATATAAAAGTTAATAACCACTTTCCATCGTTCGTTATCAATTAACCATTTCCTTCCAGATTTACTCTTTTGTACATTTCTAAATAATTTTATAATTGCTAATTTTAACAAATCATTATTTAATAAAATAGGTTCTACAGTTGCCAACAATTCATTTAAAATCTCATCTTTTTGAATAAATTCAAATCCTTTGCAATGCTTGGATAAAATCCCAATAAAATGGCATAGAAAAGTAGCCGTGTGTATTTTTGGATTTTGAAATTTCCATAATTTAATTGTTTCCAGTAACCAAATAGATAATCCAGGTAATTCTAAATAATCATTTGGTTTTAAATCTGTGGGGAAAAAAATACATAAAGTAAAACAAAAAATAATAAAAAAAAAATTTTTAAATATAAATTTTTGTATACCAAATTCCAAATTTATGTGTGACACCAATTTATCTAACTGCGTATTATCTATACTTTTAATTTTTGAGTCGGAAATTTTATTTAAAACTTCCATAAAGTTTTTGCTGAAAGTTTTCTGATCTGAATCACTCATATTTATTTGGTAAAAATTAATGGCTGTTATTTGAATTTGATTTTTAAAAATGTAAATATTTCTCCTAAATTAAATTTTTGCGTTTATCCTCCTTCTTTTTCCGAGTTTATAAGTTTACAGCAATCTTTTTTCTCATTCATGAATCCTTTTGTAGGTTTATAATTTTAGAAATTAATCAAATTGGCGGCATTATGTCTAAAATAATAAAACTAGCCAACTGCCTGAAAACGTAAAAGACTCTAAATGTATTAAATTGTTGCATGCAATGTTTTTCGATTCAATGATGGAAAAAAAAAAAACGGTTAATTTAATGAAAAATTATGTAAATACGTTTATCGTAAATTTTATTTTTAAAAAATTTCCTATTTTTCATTACGTAATGTATAAAATTATAATATTCGAGTATTTTTGCGTTCCTAAAAGTTGAGTATGTAACGACATTAGTAAACATTTTGAAAGACATGTATACTGTTAATAAAAATAGAAAAACAATTGTAATTTTTTTTCCGTTTATATTAGAAGATAATATTCAGTTGATTTTATACGGGGATTTAAATTCATTTAGTGATGTCGTTAATATATTTTTTACAGTAAAAATAACTGAAGCCAATAAACCGACAAACTTTAAATGCATTTGTGAAAATTTTTCATCAGAACAAGAAAGGCATAAAAATTGGATTTTTATTACCATTAAAAATAAAACACTAAAAATAAAGACACTTAAATTAAATGGAATAAATGAAAATTATAAAGAATTTCTCATTTTATGGATTAACTACAATTATAAACTATTTTCCACTTGTGAATTTTCAACATCAAAAACAAGTAAAGCTTCTTTTAGTAAAGAAAGTTATTTTAGTCACCTCATTAATAAAGTAGATGAAAATATTAATTATGAGAAAAAGAAAAAAAATGATTATTATGGTGCAAAGATTTTTAATTTGCTATTAAACTTTGTATTTTTAATAGTGCATAAATTAACTCAAAAAAGCAAAAAAATATTATTTCTTTCCAAATATCTTAGTATAGTATTACATTTAAATAATTACTTTGATGCTTTGCTATGGGCTTTAAAGTCAATTAAAAGAAAACAAAAAATTGATGTTAAAGTTACAAATTTTCTATTATCATCTGTATTGGATACAATTTTAGGAATTATATTTTTAAATTGGTTAAATTCAAAAATATCATTGGATTCATCGGCAACAATTTTTTTAAATTCTGCTGAATCTATAGTCGATTCGATTAAAAATTTGATTAATTGGCTGAGTGGAGATCCAGCCGGATTAAAGTTAAATTGTGCATTTAATCAGATATTAGCTAATTTTTTTATATTTCATATTGAAATTTGGTGGAACTTTTTAGGTAATTTATTTTTCAGTTGCCCTTTTCTTGGTTTTTGATAGTATTAAACAAGTGAGAATAATTTTTTTTTTTAGGTTATATTAAATTTATTGTCAAGATAATATTTCAAATTTTTTTAATATTAGGCCTTATGGGAATTACTTTTCAAGCTTCCATAGCAATTGATTTATTGGCACTCGTTAGTTTTCATATTTTTTTCATTCATGCCTATGCGGCTAAGTAAGTATTGCTAACTACAAAACATTTTTTTAATCTTTTTTTCTTATATTTGTTATTAAATTTTTCATTTTCATACATTGCTCTAAAATTTAGGCTGAAAAAACATCTCTTGTATTAGGAATTTAATCTAAAATGTATCACTAGGTGACAATGCTAGTACTCAGTACGATAAAAATTGATAATAAAAAATTATTTGAACCATGTTTAATTTTTAGATTATACAGTATACAATCTTCAACATTAATATCGTTGTGGAGATTATTTTTGGGGAAAAAGAAAAATCCTTTAAGAGGAAAAGTTGACTCTTGCGATTATACACCAGAGCAATTATTTGTCGGAACTTTGGCATTTACAATTTTGTTATTTTTACTTCCCACCACACTTTTATATTATGTTGTTTTTACATCTGTAAGTAATAAAACATTTAAATCTATTCTTTTTACAAACAATTTTAATTTTATTGTTATTTTTTATTTAGATAAAACTTTTGGTTTGTATAATCCAAGCAATTTTAATGATAATTCAAAGCTGCAATTTGGTTTTACCAGTTTACACAACATTTTTATGGATTATCAGATCTTCGAAAATACTAACCGAAATCGAAATAGAACCTGTTGGGTATTTTCCTTCTAAAAGTGT